CGAGTAATACTGATCTTGTACGTATATATCTCGAGTTGATGACAGATCGTCTCACACGATGGTGGCAAAGAGCCATTCAGTTAAATTCACTTAACTACCTTTGGCTACGTCACTTGCACCTTTTAGCAAGAAATTGTTAATTGAATGCAGGGAAAAGCACCTGACAAAGGGACCCGTCTCATAACGAGTTAACTCTTTACACAAAAGTGGCAACCAGTTTGCCATACTTGTTGCGAGGCTCGACGCAAATTAAAGTAAAAGTCAAACTTTAATGATCTCATGTGTGAGGGCCTTCCGAAATTAAATAATCAACTAAGTAAAGGTGGCAAAAGTTTCTTGAACTTCACTTCACTACCTAAAAATTCAAAACAATAACAGAAAACAGGCAATGGATGACTGTCAAGTTTTGTGTATTTATTTCCATTATCCCCTCGAGTTTCTTCTACTTTCAGTATTTCGCTTTGTTTTTCCTGCCTTTCTTTAGTGCAATTTATGTCTCATATTTTCGCGCCAATCCTCAGAGCACGTCAATCAATCACGATCGGATTATGCAAAAATAAAGAAGGAAAAGGCAAACAAAAACAGGGTAAAAATAAGTTAGACAAACACCTGTCCCCGTCAGGTGAGATTGACCTACATAATCTGGCGGAAGCTATTTTTTTTTTTTGGCCTGCCCAAATCAAGTTTTCTATTGCAGAAATCGTTGTTCACGGCGAAACGCCTCAATGCACAGTGTTTTTGTGATTCGGGCTCACTGTTACTATTTCAGCAGTCTTGCCAATGGGCGAAGCACACCTTGCCCACTCACCTGGCCACGCCCCTCCGCCTCTCCGCCTGAAAACCGCTCATTAGGCGCCTGGGAAGTTCAGCTAATTGAAACTATTAAAAACAACTATTTTTTGGGCACCCCAGACTGGTTTTTGTCTACTTACGACGAGGGTATCTGGTTTCTTTTCAGATTTTTGTGGATAATTAAATTATGGAAAGAAGCGGTAAGGTATTCATTAAAGTTGCAGAAAGCCGGAGAAAGGGCGGCAATATAAAAAGATTTCGGGAGGAGATTGTTAAAAAAAAAGCCATATAATTATGCGTAGGTATGGCTATTTTCTTCAATGATAGTTTTGATTTTTAGATTTTTTTTTAGTCATAAATATACCAAGAAGTATAAAGGTTATTCAAACCATTCATAAATAAAAATCGAAATACATTCTTTGGTAGTATTGTTGAAGTCCAAAACTCGGCCCAAATAGTTTTGCCGACTTACAAAAAACTTTTACCCAAACTACTTCGCTGTGCTTCAGTTATTTTCTTGAGAAGCGGTACAAAAAACTACTGGGGGTCAAGTAATGTCGCGATTGTTGCGATTTCCAAAGAAATAATGCCTTGAGTCACAGAAAATATGAAGTAGAAATATCGTCTTTTGTTGCCGGACAAGTGAAAGTATTTATGGACATGTGGGCGTGGGGGCCTCCGGCTAACTTGCAGTGGGCGTGTCTGGTGAGCTTTCTTGAGAATTTAGTATGGATATACATGGCAAACAACATGAATTAGGCTAAGTGCAACAGTAACAACAAGTTGGTGAATGATTTCTAGTGAGGGTTTAATACGCACATGTCTCTCAAATGACTGCGACGGCGGTCGTAGGGGAAATACTCAAAATATTCATCTTCCATTTAGGTGGAATCTGTTATCTTTTGCTTAATTGTTTATTATGTTGTTTATCTTAGATCGTTGGGTTAGCTCACTTGGTTATCAGTTTTTAGTGCCATTGGCCGCATTGTGAACGTCATTGACTTTAATTTGTTGATTCAAAACGATAACGTATACTTCTTTATCTTTTTGATAAGATTAAAGGCTTGAGTTCGTTGGCTAATTCCTTTGTGTGTTACAACATTATTGACTGCGTCAGCTCTTTATGAGTAAAGGTAGTACAAAGTTGGTAATTCAAATAGGAACCTTTCTATATGTATCTATGTAATGATGAAACAACTGATCAATTTAACGTATTTTTAAGACATTTCAGGATGTATGTCTATTTACACTGGTGCACCAGATGTTTGCACCTCCATTAGCTTCACTTTTGATTTGGTTTATGAGCCGTTCAGCAAATTGGAAGCTCGTTTTTTGCCACAAAAAGGAAATTTCAGCCGAGAAAACGCACTCGCACTCATCATCGGCAAATTAGACACACTTTCGCAATTGACGGATCCGCCAGCCACACTTCACTTTTCATTACGAGTCTCCTCAAGCCGAACATCCAAGCCAAGCCGCAATTGTTGCACTCGATGAGCGTTTGGGATGGTTAATATTTAGCTAACACGCTGCTGGAAATCGCTCTGATAACGTCGTTAAACGCTCTCTGCCAGCGAAATCGAAAACGAAATCAAAAATCGAAAAGAAAGAAAATCGCGGCAAAACTGCACTCTCGACTGCACTGACCGACCAACTAGCAATGAAATCGTGTTGCCGCAGAGGGGCAGCATTTATATGGCTGCTCTCCGCATAATTAAGGCTATAAAACTGATTCGATTTTGATTGATGCCTCTCCACGGGGCGAGCAGAAAAGGGCTGAAACGCCATTAAGCCGAGTTGAAGATGCGGTGAGTGTGGCAATTGGAAACGAACGCACTTTAGGGCCGCTTTAAAAAGTCGATTACTCTTTCAGATACAAACGCAATACAGAGATGCAGTTGATTGGCCATTTCGTTACTGGCTATAAGAGGTGGGGATACGAGTGTGTAATGTTAAAGGAAATGATTGAAACATTCCTCAAACGTTACTAGAAATCTATAGAAATCTAAATAGCGCAGTTCAAAATACCTAGGATGCTTTTTATCTTTTTATTTAATATGTAAAACGCAGCTTCTTAAAAGCTCTAGACTGTTACTTGTGTATGCAGCATTTTAACAACTTTCTCCGAATTTACAATTCAAATTACCTAATATAAGTAGCATCAATTCTGAGTATGCTTAAGGAATTATCATATTCATACAAACATGTTCTTGGAGGATTGAAAAAACATGGCTATCTTTTTGGTGGTAAACTCTCAAAATATACTTTTTCTATGTAACAAAGAATTGTTAATAGTTTACATCTGTGTGAAATGATAGTGTATATAACACTTTCAAAAACGTATAAAAATCTATTTGAAGTGGAATATCTGTGTAACTACAGTACACACTTGTTTTGATGCATTCTTACCCACCATTCCCTCACCAGTCTGTGTATAAATGGGGCTTTAATTTGGCTGAATGCATGGGAAAAGTGCAGCACAAAAGGGCGTGGGCCCGTGGAAACCCGGGGAAAAGTCACGTGCAAGAGACGAGACACACATGTCGAAGATGGGTAAGAGGATAACGCACGAGAAGTCGGCGAAGAACCTCCGATTCCGATTTTGTATGGGAATGTGCAGTATATGGCCAAAGACTGCGCTTGTTATTGTGGCTATTATGATGGTAGTTGGACGTCATTAAGGCGTGACGCCGTAAATTACCAAAGTGTAAACTACAGCACAAAACTATGTACGAAATCTCATAAAAGCGCGCAGCTCGAATTAAAACCGTTTTCTATTCCGTGGAAAGCGAAATTTATAGCCAAAAACAAAACCGAAAACCGAAAACCAAAAAAAAACACAATTAAATCTATTTGCACAAACGTTTCGCATACGTCGCGTTGTCTGGGGCCCCCACAAAAATTATATTTACACAGATATAAACAAAGCCCATACACAGACACTTTCACATACTTTGCTTTTCTCAATGGATGCGGCGGAATTTTGTATGATTTTTATTCGGTTTTACACCGGAACACCAGTCACAGACTCTCGGGCGATTAATAAATAATCAAATCGGGCCAAAACGACGACAGAAATTTCCTGACATCCGCACGCAGTTACAGCGATGTTCGAACTAAAACCAAAAACCACATTCCGACTTTTTAGCCGCCTGCTGATCTAAAGACGGCCAACAAACAGGCTAGAAGCCAACAAACGGGTTCGAAACCAACAAACTGGTTCGAAGCGGGAAGAAGCAGAGCGAAAAATGTGTTTCTCTTTCTGTTTTAAATTGAAATTCGAAATTTGGTGCTCTTCTCTTAAAGATTTTATGATTTGGATTTGAACAGCTGATGTACATAATAATAAGATCGCATAAATCAACAGGATTTTAATTTAATATTTTCCGAAATGTTTAAAGATAATATAAAAACAAAAAATAAGGTATTGCAATAGTATTTGTATTTGAAATTGTACTTGTATCCGATTATTTATGTTCGTCTAATGACTAATAGTCTAGCATAATTTAATTTTAATATTATCCAAAATGTAAAAATATATTTATAATTTAAGACATCACTTCAGGACTTTCTTTTAGCATTATTTTGTGTTCGACAACCTAAATAGGCTCATTGCTATGTCAAAAGGTTTTTAATAATAGCAGTGTTTTTCTCATTTTGTCTGGCACTGCTTTTTCCCACGCAACTTGTTTGCTGCCAACACGTTGTTAGGCGATACTTAAAACTAAAACTATACAACATCAACAAAACAAATCTGGCCAACAATAAACATTTTCGTGTATCTATTAGATGCCAACTACCTAAAACCGAAGCCAAATTGGCGAAACACGAACTTTCAAGCGGTTTTCAGCTGCCAAATAATTCAAATACATGCAGGAAAAAAAGGGGAAATTGTCGCCAAGTCTGCCAATTAGCCAAGAGTTGCAAGCCAACTGCCAACTGCCAACAATGTTGGGCCCCCGCAAAGTGGCTTGGAAACTGCCTCGATTAGGCAGCCGGCCACCTTTAAGGCTAATTGAGGGCCAACAGCGGAGACTTGGGAACTGTGCACGGGAAAATAGAGATACACAATGCCATTGGTGAAAATTGCCACGAAAGACAATTGGAAATCACTTAAAGCAAACTGCCTTTGAAGGCAAGATGTCAAGGTTGGCGTAGGCCATAATGAAATAGGATCAAAACGTGCTATTCTATGCAATGCAATTTGAGTCACTAAAAATGGTTTATTACAAATTCTTACATTACAATTTCACTTTCCCCCAATATCAAAATAACTGACAAATATATCTAGATCTTCCATTCAATTTTCGCGACTGATGCAGATGGCCGTTTATGCACATTTCTTTTCCCCACGTCCAATTTTTTTGCATATACCATCTTCGTGGATTTCGGTTTTTTAAAGACCTTGCTCACGGCTGGGGTTAGTTTTCCCTGAATATTCGCATCAAACCGCACCATGGGTTTCACTACAAAATCCTCTTCAGGTTCGGGGTCTGGAATCACAGGCTCCGGTAAACTTTTATCCTGAACTGGAAAAGGTTCTTCGATTTCGGTATATTCTATAAGTTTTTCATCGTTTGCGTTGCCAATCCTATCAGGAAACACTGGCAGCGGCTTGGTTATTGTGGTCGCATTTAGGGCATCTTGCAACATGGCCATATCCTGGGTTACAAACTGGACACGATCTCTCAGTGACCTAATCTCCGACATAGGCACCTAATGGATAACCTTATTAAACCCTCTCTAATGGTGTGCCGCTTTTAACTTACATCGTTCCACTTGCGTTTGAGCCTTTTAAATATCAGCCAGAAGAGTGCGATCAGCAAAAACGTTAAAACCACCAGGTAAGTTGGGGATCTGTCCCATACTAGAATTTTCCACAATTCAAGGCCCTTGAGCGCGAACCAACAAACCGATTGCCACGAATAGCAGTACTGTGATATCTTTACCGAAGTTTCCAAATCAATGTTCTGGCTATATTCCCACATTTTAGGACTGAATTTATGTTGCTTTGATTCAAGAATTTTGATTGTATTACACGGATAACAAAATGGTGCTTTATGCTATTATACACGTGAAATGAAAGGCATTTCTTGGGTTGCTAGATGGAAAGCATCTAGCCCATTTATATGACAACCTTTAAAATGTGTCTATATGGATAAATACTCCGTTCTTTAAAACAACATAATTGTATAATTTCCCTTATTCCCTTTCCGTTTTCAAGTAAAATCTTTAACATCTTCCCACAATTTCCCCTAATTGTTCTCGGTTCTTTAATGCATTTTCCCCCACCAAATCCCAGCGCAGCTTTGTTGAATGCCAAGTGCAGATACTGGGAAAAACATGTTCCCAGCAGCTGAGCAAAAACAAAGGCATTTGCATGACAAATTCAAGTCGGCCCAAGTTGTAGTTGCTTCGAAAAGAGGAGCAGCCATGGGAACACCAAGGTCCGGAAAGTTGACGGAGCATCCACAATTTACAACCTGCGTGGGGGGGTTAACTGATTTGCACACACCTTAAATGCAGATTTGGCAGATTTCTCACCTTATTTCAAAAGATATTTCATTAAACAAATTAACTAAATAAATGAAATGCTCGGAAATGAAAACTGGTATAGATCAATAGTCTATAAATGATTTAACTATTACAAAATTAGTATGTTGACCAACAAACGATCAAAGTATATAAAATTACTCAAAGATACGTTATAAATGTGTCGAAATCGATAGCATCAGCAGACCGAGTTTCATTTTGGGTCAAATTTTATTCGCGACTTGACAAAAGTGCCGGCCTAAATTCTGAAGAGTGAACAATTGCCGCAAGTTAAACCTGTTTCTGGACCTTCTCACTTCACTTCCTCCGATCGCATGAGCGAAAAAATAAATTCCAACAGCATGACAACCCCAGCGAGTCAGCAAACTTGTAAGCCAAGTCAACAGGAAAGGAGCTGGCCAAAAGAAGGGGAGACAAGAAAAGACCCGCATCTTCTACCTTCAACCTTTTCGCTCGGTCCCCGGGAAAAGTTCACAAAAGCGGCTAAACTACTTTTGGCTCAAGAAGATGGCAGCAGGAAGCACGGTCTCCAGTTGACAAGCAGAACTGCCAAAGGAAGTTATATAAATTGTAGCAGATTCCATCTAGCGCTCTCATTGTAATAACCTAAATCTCATGCTGTTAATCTGATATATTTATTTTACTTTCGTTTGGGTTTCAGTTGCAATTAAGTCCCAGAAAAGAGAGCAATTTTTTTCGGTTGTAACTTTTATGACAGCCCGCAGGCAATAATCATAAATTTTGGTTTTGGGGGTGGTAGCGGTAGGAAAGCTCTTGAAAATTACCCAATTGAATATCTATGTAGTTGTACAGCAATTGAAACAGGCGAAAAAGATGGGAAAAGCTGATAACTAATTTAGGCGGACGAGAAACCAGCAATTCAGTAAGCCAACTAATGGAAAATTGGGAAAAACATAAGGCAACTCATAGCTGAAACTAACAATCTTGGATACAAGATGTCATGGGAACGCTTGTGAAAACATCAAGTAGTATTTTTTAACATTATATATTTTGGAATTATCTTATATTAAAAAGCAGCGCACCAATAAATGTATTTATAAATTAGTTATATGTTTATGTACAAAGAACAAAACCAAAACCGAAATGGGGCAACAATGGGGGTTATGATATACATGAAGCTCTACATGAAACCCCAAAAGAGTATATTCAAGGGTGCTTACTGTCTCATGGATCCCCAACGACGCTGGGATAAACTATCAGGATTGCTGCAAGAAAAATGTGTATCAATTGGGAGAACTAATAATGTTTTTAAATTAATTTAAAAGAAACCCCAATAGCTATAGTATTAATTGAATGTGTTAATGTTTCGAAACATCTAATCTTCCTATAAACTAATACAAATAAAGAAAACAAGTCGAGTTCCCCGACTATCAGATACCCGTTACCCAGCTAGTGAAAGTGCGAAAAATAAATTTAATAATTTTCTGGAATATAGGTAAAAATTGGGAATAAAATTAAGAGAAGAAAAAAAAATTGTTCAACGGTGTGGGTGCGGCAAAACTATTTTTGGCAAATCGATTGAAATTTACAAGACTAATAAAAAAGTAAAAAAATATTACAACATTTACAAAAAATGTGGCAATTTTTTGTGGTTTGTGGACGTTAGAGTGGGGGTGGAAACATTTGGAAATAAACTTGTGCTGCGTCTAGGTCTCTGGAACTTGTATGCTCAATCTCAACATTCTAGCTTTTGTAGTTCCTGAGATCGAGGCGTTTATACTGACGAGTTCATAATCTACGAGTAACGATTATAATTAAGAAATTTAAACTTAATTTTGTATAATTTGTCTTTAAAAAATTGGTATTTAAATATTTAAGCAATTTTTGTATTCTAGCTAACCAATTGAACCTGAAACACTGTACAATTTAAGAGAGTTTTCGGACTCTCTTGCGATCAGGTGAATTCTGAATTCACCACGGCGATGGCAACTTGTTGAACAAAGACACGCATGAATCACGGCCCAAAGCGATTCCGATTCATGAGCCCAAGTCAGAGCATAGAAAAAACTGGTTTCAGTCTGTGTATGCATTTTTCCAGTCCCACACACACACACTCACACATATACATACGTCGAAACCGACTACCACAAGTTTACATAAAGAAAAGGTTAACTATTCAAATACGCGTTTTTATGCTGCCTCGGACAGCCAAATTGAGAGTTTTTGAATTGATGAAGTCGAAGTCTCTGGTCAGCTTTATGTTATGTTTACGGCTATTACGTATTCAGCCGGATTATGTGCGCAACCTTATAAATGCCGGCCAACTGAGGAAATTCGCATTCGCTCCGATTGCCATTTTGGTAGGTGATCCAAACAAATGGGCGAGATTACCTGGTGGGAGTTCGTCGCAGACTGCGCCTGGCCCAATTGTCCCGGGGCATTATGTTCAGTTCGTCATCACTGGGGAACAATGAAATCGAGTTAGTAAAATGCTCATCAGTTGTGACAATGGAAATATACAAAGCGTTTTAATGTCAGATAGTTTGTGCGATTAATTGACAGAACTCAGGTACTGAGGAGGCAATTCAAGAGTCTAATGTTCTCTGCTCGACAAGAGTTATATGGTATTGCAAACTCAATAAAACACAATCGTATATTGCAAATGCAGTTGAGTGCATTGCAGCTGGCCGAACAGTTTACAGAAGAACTACGTTACTATAAGTATATACATATGTAAATATATATTTATAATTTATCTAACTAACCATTAGATTTCAAATAACTTTTGTTTAATACATAACTGATTCAACTGACACTTTTAAAACGCACTGTATAAATGCTTCGAGCACTTACTCTTGAGGTGTCGATGAGCCGACGTGTGGAGCCAAATCGAGTTCGATGCCAGTGCTGCCATTTAGATTGTTATTTCCGTCGTTCGAGTGTCCACTGTGGTTGTGTCCGCTGCTGTTGCCCACGCTGATATTTGGATTATTGTTAATATGATTGCTGGTGTTGTGGCTCCCATTGGAAATGGAGCTGCGGCCTTCTCGAAGTTGGGTGGGATACTCATTTTCGCCATATCCCTCAAAGGACTCGCCATCCGAGAGCGAGGAACACTGAGATTTGGCCACGCCAGCTGAAGTTTGAAAAATGATTTAGTTAGTAATGAATTTATGATGAATGAAATGCAATCCATACCTGTACTGGAGGGCGGACTGCTGGGGGTGGGACTACTATCGCCGGACATTGTCTCCGCAAACAGAAAATCATTTGTGTTAGCTTTTATGGAAGCATTGCCATTGGGCAACTGAATTCGGGGCATTGGAGCCATTTTGCCGGAAAACGTACAGCAACTGCGAAAAGAACACAAAATTTAAGATATTAAGTTTGTTGCTTGCTAAATGTATATAGATGTTCAATTGACGACAGACATGGCATGCAGGTCAATAGGTCAAAGTGCCAAGCCAAGTTACACATGCAATTGCAAAAAGTTAAGCAAAAGCGCAAAAAACGAGCCCATCAATACATTACTTATTGATTGAAACTCTAAGGCGAAAGCACGCTGGTGCTAAACTACCCAGAGCACTTAGTAAATTGAAAATTGAAATAAAGCCCGTTGAAAAAAACCAATACAAATCTACTTTATTCCTCTTCAATGTAACAAGAAGTGCTAAACAAATAATTACATTTCCCTTCTAACCAAAAAGTCTGTTCAGAAACAACCTTCAACAGGTGTGTTTTGTCCGTTTCCGGAAAAAGGAAAATGAAAATTATCAGCCCAAAACGTCATTAGCTAAATGGGTCGAGGTTTTTTCAGCGGACATTACTTCCCTTCCTGGTCACTTGCATTAGCTCCCCGCTTTCCCTGCCCCTCAATTACCCAAAACTTCGAGGCATGACTAAGGCACTTTCATAAGTACTTTTATAGAAGTACCCCGATCTCAGCGTGAGTAATTACCTATATTTCGTTTTTAATTGGTCGTGGCTCTGCCTTGCCAACATTTTCCTTTTCGAGTTTCACGCTTTCGTTTCTTTTGGCCATTGTCACCAAGAATCGGTGGGTGTTTTGGGGCAATATAAGTTGAAGTACAAAAACCTATAAATACCGTGATGTCTGATTGATTGATATGTCAGGGCCGTTAGTTGTAGAAAGCCGAATTGGGTCAACTATTGTTTTGGGGATTAGGGAAAATTATAGTGACAAATAAATATATTTGGGCAAAAATTAAGGCTAAAGAAAACACAAATCAATCCAAAAAATACAATAATAATTTAATAATAATTGTTTTACTAGAAATAATATTTATTGGGCAGTTTTAAGAATTTATAAAATCACTTGGTAACTAATTTAAAGCTATTTAAATATAAAATTAACTATCTTGCCTTTTTTTGGCGAATTTCACTTTTGCTACTCCAAATTACATGAACCATCATAGCCAACCCATCAATTTCATAATAAACTAACCATAAACTTGTGATTAAACATCGATTGCTTGGTTAATTCGATGCAAAACGCTTTTAGCTGGAATAATATGCAAT